TTTAAATGGACACTTCACCTCAAATCAAATAGAGAATGGACACTATTGAAGCAAAGTGGAATGGAGAGGTCAGGTGACCTTTTTTGTTCTTGCTCATACCCAGGGACTACACCTTTATGTCAGGTAACACTCAGCAGATCTGGCAAGGTTTGGGATGGGGTTGGTGGGAAATGGGAACCACAGAGTTAATGCTGAGGCCAGTAACCTATCTGAACTCAATTCAGTTGAATTTTCACCAGCAACTTTCAGATCTCTAGTTTCCACATTTGTTTTATTGCACAGTTATGCAAGGCTGTGGAGCTAACTTTATCTAGACAGGACAGTAAAAATGCAAACAGACTTACTGGGTATACCTTTGAGATGTAATTATGAAGTATGACAGATCTTGCCTGTGGTTATTCAAGAAATAGCCTTTATGCTGTTTGCAGATGTATCAGCTTTGGAGTGGGATTTCAAAAGATTAGGTGGGGAGAACCCTTATTTTATCAGTGATAAATGGGTTGGTGTCATTCAGACCCCAATGTTTGAGAATAGCTTAAATCAGAAATGATTTTTGAGGGTAAGAGGAGAGAAACCCTCTGTTCACAATATTAGAAACCTTTTCAGAAGACTTTTAAGTTACATTTTTGGAGCAGCAAGGGAGAAGGGCCCAGGCTATTGTTTCACCAGCACCCTGTCTAAGGCCAGGCGGGAAGTTCATTTTCACCTTTACACATTAGAGGATTGGAGTAGCATGGTGGCTTGGTGGTTAGCAATATTGCCTCAGTGCCAGGGACCCGGGTTCAATTGCAGCTTTGGGCGACCATGTAGAGCTGGCGCACATTTGGTACCTGTGTGCATTTCCTCCCGCACTTCAAACGTGAGAGAGTTAGGCAGATCGCCATGCTAAATTGCTGTACTGTCCAGGGACGTGTACGTTGGGTGGATTAGCCATGGGGTCTTTCTGGACTGAATGGCCTGTTTACACACTGTAGCGATTCTATGATCTGAACCAGGTTTTATTGACATTGGAGGGGTAGCTGAACCAATTAGAATTGAGCAGGAGAAACATACTATTGCAAGCAATAAGTCAAAATAAGTTTGTCTCCTTAAACCTCCAGTTTGTACACTTGAGGACCATTCAAGGAACGAGAGGTCTGCAATGTTTAGAGGCTTTATCCCAGATAAAGCAAGTATGATAGAATTGTGAACTTTAAAGACTAAGTTCATGCTAACTTTTGTTATGATGCAGTCTTCTCTTGTACAGGCACACAAACAAGTACACAAGAGACAGTGTGACCAAATACTTGAGGGTGTTTGAAACTGAATCTTTATCCTTTACCAAACTTATCAGAAAAGTTGAATCAGAGATAGTAGGAACTGCAGATGCTGGAGAATCCGAGACAACAAGGTGCAGGGCCGGATGAACACAGCAGGCCAAGCAGCATCATAGAGAGGCTGACGTTTCGGGCCGAGACCCTTCATCAGAAAAGTTGCCTTTTTTAAAATTCTTAATTGCAACACTCGAATTTAAGGCACCTCTCGTTTTAAAATTCTTCTTCCTTCAGTCATTAAAATGGGGAGATAATCCATGATTTCTACACACAGTGGATTCCCATTTGCTATACACACACGCAGCTTAGAGGAAACAATGATTATTGATCTGCATCTCAACTCCATCTACTCATTTGACGAGTTAGTTAATAGCCCCATGTCCAGCAAAGGTTTATTGACTGCTCTGAAGAAGGGTCACTGGACTTGAAATGATAACTGTTTTTTAATTGATCCAGCGTTTAAAATTTATGAACTGACCGAGCCTCTGTTGCTTTCTGCAGAGCAGGAGTTGATAATCACAAAAAGGTTGAGGTAGTTAGTTTCTCTCTCCAGAATGGCCTTGATCTGAATTTAAGTGACATCTTTATTTATTTTTAATCTGTTTTATCAACTCATTTTAATGTTCTAAAAAGGCATCAATTCTCTAAACCCACTAATGCCAGGGATTGAGCCTTTTTTCATGCAAACTTCCCTGCGTAATTTATCCCTTAGAGTGAGTAACACATTAGAAGGATTCCAGTGCTGGTTCACTAACCTACGGCCTTTCTTAACACTGTACAAAAGTGTGGAACAAAAACAAATTTGCTGGAAAAGCTTAGCAGGTCTGGCAGCATCTGTGAAGGAGAAAACAGAGTTAATGTTTCGGGTCCAGTGACCCTTCCTCAGAACTGATGGTGGCTGGGAAAACGTCAGTTTATATGCAGAAAATAGGGAGGTGGGTGGGGTAGGGAGTAAACGATAGGATAGAGCCCAAAGAGAGAGAAAGACAGTTGGACAGACAAAGGAGTTGCTAACAATCAGGCTGGGCGGGTGAATAGTTGTTAATGGGGACTGTTAGTGACTAACAACAGGGGGTGTGTAATGGCAGGCTATGTGGTAACAAGGCCTGGTGTGTGGGGTAGGGGGCTGGCGCTTTCAAGCTAATAGCACCCCCAACCCCGCACAGCTCGTTTCTACCTCCTGCCTGCCCATCAGCTTTTCCAGCAACTTTGTTTTTGTTCCCGATTTGCAGCATCCGCAGTTCTTTTGGTTTTTAACTGTACAAAGCATACCATGTGTTTTCCAGTTTTATTGGTTATTTATATTTCCGAACAATCCACAGTTGGCACACCTCATGCGATGTGTGCAGTGACTTTATTTACAGAACTTCAAAATGTATACTCCATTTTTCAGCTCTGGCTGCCAGCTTTTGTTTTGCTGTTCTGGTTTTCACTCACGTGGGTTTAACCACTCAAGCGCAGTGAGCATAGATCAGTCATCAGACTGAAACAGATTGCCAGAACATGTGGTCGAATGAGGGTTTTATATCGGAGTCACAAAATTTCCTCTTTATGCTGTAGACCTTTAATAGAGTGGATTACAAGCCCATTTCAAATTTGTTTGTATCTGACTGCTATGGAGTGCATAAATCCTTAGTCTCCAAAGCTTCTGGGCCAAGTCTTGTCCTTTTTGGGGTAAGTCGGAGTGGTGTCAGGTTTCGAGGGTTCCTCACTATGGGACTGGGTGAATTCTCACCCTAACATTAATTAACTGCCCTGGACTCTAGTGTCCAACTCTGTCCCATCTCACCACATGCCATTCCTTGGACAATGGCAGATATCCCAGAACCACCTCCATGACTTGTGCCCATGGCACTTGGAAAAACCTGCATGCAGCCATACAAGCACTGCCAATCCAGAACAACCCTGCATGGCCCCTGATATATATTCGCTGGTTTGCCACATCCTGGGCATCCAGCACCTCATTGTGGGCAGGGAATAGAGCTTCTGCTGGAGGGGGGTGGTACAGATGTGTGATGTTCCTCACCCCCAGGACCCGCACTGTACACCAACCCAGTCAATCAGAGGTTGCCACCAGAATTAAAGCAGTCTCAGCCAGTAGAAATGCCCAGCACTAGGGAAAAAAAAAAGTCATGCATTTCTCTGCTCAGCCAGTGGAAGTGCCAACACCTTCTCTCCAATGCTTCACACTCAGTCTCTGGTACTTCATCCACCTCGCATCAAGGCTCAGGCTTTACCACTATTAGGTTCAATATCTTCCCTCACTCGCTGTCACCTAAGCCAACCTGACTAACCCTACGCTGCCCACTCACGCTGGACATGTCCCCACGTACACAAAGTAGTGACAGCTGTGCCATTCACTGCCTCTCTCTCAATCCAGGGGATGGCAGCACCAGCAGGGTAGAAAGAGGCAAGGTAGGTGATGGGCTACTTAATATTCAGCTCCTCAGGGGGAAGATCCGGACTCTTACTGCCCAGGTAGGGCCTGGACTGGGCTTGGAGCCTAGCCTCAAATTCCTGCGTGGGACCTTGTGAGCAAAAGGTTCCCCCTATGAAGGGAGGCTAGTGGCAATAATGACAAGCTTCCTGACCTTGTCTCTGTGCTAGACAGCAAGAGACAGAAGTAATAATAGCCTGGTATCTGACTGAGGGGGCAAAGCCACACTTTGTAATTATGCTCCTGTCTACGCTGCTCATGTCTTTATTTCAGCAAATTTCTATACAACTCCCTGCTTTGTAAGCTTATTTTATACTAACGTGATGAACAGCGGTATTAACATAGGGTGTTTGCTTGGTTTTTGAACCTGATTGTGTTTGGATATTTGATAAATATGGAAGGGAGTTAAATTGTCAACATGACGCAGCTTTGAAAATCTGAGAGTTAACAGATTAACTTGGTTCGACAGTAGAGCTATCCACTACTTTACTGTACAGTGCTTTCCAATGACACCTGTCAGTTGTGGTTCTTGGGCAGTATTGGAGTTAAAGTCAAGTTTAAGTCCTATTCCAGAGACATTAGCCTATTGATTCAGGTAGTGCTTCAATGTCAGCTGGTACCATCTCATGTGGTGTTAAACCGCTTCTGCTCTCTGATGGATCCTGTGCCACTATCCTGAAGGGGAGCAGGGAAGTTGTCCCCTTTGTCCGTGGCATTATTGATCAGACCAGAAGAATATTCCCCACCTCAAAATTAGTAAGGAGTTGGTCTAGGCCCTAACTTTTATATTTAAAAGGCAAGTGTAAGGCAGTATATTGAAGATGCAATTCAATTGATCTGCCACTAAACGCTAATCAAAGCATACATTTTCTTACAACACTAAGAAAGTTGGCATATTTTTATTGCCAAACTTGATAAAGTAATATTATTTAATGACATCATTAGTTGTTCCAACATTGGCAGCATCCCATAAACCCTTGGCAAGGCAATTTAGCAAACTAGTTATGGATCTCACATGCTGCCTCTCTCCAGTCTAGCAGAGCAAAATGCTAAAACGAAAGAAAGAAACAAACAAAGTCTGCCTCTTTTTATTTCTAAGAGGAAAAGACTGTGGCAGAGAAGTCAAGCTGTTAGTCAGAAGCAGTAGAAACTTTCAATTAACAACGTAAACCTAAATACCTTCCTGGGTCTGAGTGAGCCCTGTCACTACCCACTCATGAATTTTGTCTAATTTAAAAAAAAACACATACCCAGGGATAATTTCAAGCTGTTTACCAACTCCTGTTGGAAGCAGACATCCTTGTACCACTGTGGCAGCAACACTTTGCAAGAAAAACAGGGCAGAACATCTCTTAAAAAGGCACAGATTCATCACTTCTGTAATGAAAATAAGAATAAAAATCACAAAGAAAAGTAGACTCTGGTTTATGATCACATTGCTGTTTGTAGGACACTGCTGTCGATAACTGGTTTTATTTCCTATAATCAGTGACTTAACTGCCTGTACAAGTAATGAGAACAAGTTAAATTTTTCATAAGAGCAGTCAAGCAAGCTGTTGCATGGAATAAACCAATTGTTATTTACAGTCTAAGCCACGGTGATAAAAACCACTGACTAATAGAACTGAGAAGACAATTCAGTAAATAATTTTATGTTTTATCTTTTTGATATTATTCAATGCTTTGTTGGGGATGAGAAGTCTAATGTACACAACACAGAATGTTATTATTACACCTGGTTGGTCACACCTCCCTACATAGAGGAAAACAAAAAAAAAACGAGGGCTTAGAATTTTAAAAAAAGTATAGACAAAAAAGTTATGCTGGAAAATTTCAGCAGGTCAGACAACATCAGAGGATGAAATATAGAGTTGATGATTTAGGTTTATGACCCTGGAAAATGCTTTCACCTAGAGGGTGCTCGGGATCTGGTATGCATTGCCCGAGAGGGCAGTTGAGGTGAGACACCACAAGTTTTACATTACTTGGATGATCACTTGAAAAGGTCATAACAATGAAGACTATGGGCCTAATGCAGGAAAGTGGGACCAGAATAGACTCTGCATAGTTTTGGCACAAGACCCAAGGGGTTGAATAGCTTCTTTATTACCGTATGATGTGATTATTTGGTTCAGGAATGACCCTGGATCCCAATGCATAGCAGAGATTTCTAGTATAGCTCTGAAACCGCAGTAGACATGTTATTACTGCTGAACCAAATCCAGTCTCTGCCTTTAACCCACAGGGCATGCATCTTAGACTGGAAATCAATACATAAAAGATGTGGAGCAGAAACATTGGCTAATTCCTGTCCCTCACCTGGTCATAAACACAATTATATTGTCCCGACTTATGCCCCAGCCCAGAGTAGCTAATCCAGCATTGATCAGGGCCCATACCTTGGCCCTGTGACTTCAAGATTCAGTTTCACACTGGAGATAACCAGATCTTTAGTACACTCAAAATTTAAAATCAAAATGTTGAGTGGGGAACAATACCCAACAGACTACCAGGAAATAATTCATGTACGCAAGCCACACAGTACCCTATGGAAACAAATGCCTCATTTTAAAAAAACAAAGGTACAAATCATTCAACATCTGAAAAACTTGCATACAAACTCAGCTAAGTCTTTGAGAATGGACACATATGGTCTATTGTCAACTTCTGGCATTGTCTTTCCAGATTTTCAGGCTTCCCCAGTTTTATCTCTCTCTCTACTATATATGAAAAAAAAAGACAGAGAGAGAATTAAAGGCATGATGTTTACACCTTTTCAGAACAGCATATGTCTAGAGTGATGATAGCCAGCATGAACCCTTCATAGAGCTGAGGCAGAGATGAAATAAGAATGGGACTCTTGCTCTCTTTTCACTAAAGGTTTGTACATTAATATGCAACCTAAACACAATGCCACAAGCACCAAGGTTGAAATAAACCAGATTGACACACTGTCCAGCATGTGCTAAACACAGACAGCTATCTGTACAGCTGCATATCCAAATGAATATAGAGAGATCTGTATTTGTTTGTATGCATCAGTGTACAGAGAGCTAGCTTTACACCTTCAAATACAAGCATTCTAGCAAAGGATTCGATGACATGCTGCAATTGTACAGGGCCTTGGTAAGGCCACACCTAGGATATGGTGTACACTTTTAGTCTCCTAATCCGAGGGGGGATGGATGTTCTGGCTGAGGGATTTACCAGACTGAACCTTGGGATGGCAGGAATGATGGAAAGCGAGAGCGAGAGCAAAGATTGGTTAGGACTATATTTGAGCATGCAAGATCTTATGACCAGGAGTCCAGAATCAGTTACTGTCTAAGGATAGAGAGTAGGCCTTTTGGATGAGGAAACATGTAGAGCACGAGTGATCAGCCAGGAGAACACTCCTGCTGGAAACCCATGCAGCCAAAATACTGGAGACTTTCATGAAAGACACAGGTACAGTTTTTTGGAACTAAATGTATCAAAGGATATGGAAAGGAAGCATGAACAGGGTATTGAGTTGGATGATCAGCTGTAATCATATTGAGTGGGAGGAGCAGGCTTGAAGATCTGATTGACCTACTCTTGTTCCTCTTCTTTATATGACATAGGGAACTGCCTGCATACCCACATCCAGAGGCCCAAGTACAGAAAGCTGGCTATATTGACAAGTACCCAAACAGGGAACTTCCTGCAATGCTAAGCCTCAGCAGCTATTTGTTACAGCCTTTTAGCGCTCCTGCATTGAAACTGGTTTCAATGATGTAGCATTTAAACACCAGAAAAATCTGTTTAACAACCTCACTGCATTTCCCATCAGGAATTGGAAAGTAATTACCACTCTGTTAAGGGATTAAGCTTCTAATGTGAAATATAGTCCTTTAAAGAAAATTTTAAAATTGCTGAAAATACACATTTTGTCAAAATATTAACGTGAACAGGTTGGTAGTTAAAACACAGCCATTAACTAATCCATAGCAATCCCTCCTCTAATAAAAAATCATGTGCCACCCAATCAGCACTCTCCTCATTCATGCTATTGTGCAGCATGCAAGATGAAATGTGGTGACAAAATTTGTCTCCCACACCCCCAAACAATGCTGAAGGGGACACTATAGTGAACAAAGTATTAAAAATCTTAAGTCAATTCATTGTGGATCCGGGATTCCATAACAATTATATTTACCCAATCAAGGGCAAGAACAAGTCAAGAGAATCAACTACACTAATGACATCTACTACAGCAATTTTACATCAATGGAATCAGGGCAACTATGTCTTGCTCTGCTTTTCAGTACAAAAAGTGATGCTTCCTCCAACATTATAGGTAGTTGATGAGGAGCAATTCAAATGGCACAAATTGAGTTTACAAGACAAGACTACCAGGTGTTTAAAACAGAAGATTGCCTATAAATTAAAATGCTGCTTAAGTTGAGAAATCAGTCCAAACCTGAATGCAACCCCTAAAGTTTAATGGTCTGAAATGTTGACTTAATGGCATTCTTCTTATCAGTGCTAGGAATAATACAGATCATATATTAATTTACAAACAATATTTTTAATCTTACCAGTAATTTGTGAGATATCTTGAGTCCTTAAACTCAAAATTATAAATTCCCAAGCCTTTAACTCCCTTTATTTCAGAACTCTATCCACCAGAGTAGAGTTAAGGTTGCTTGATTCAATATACCCAACTCTGAGTTAACTCAATGTAGATGCAAACAAAGGATTAAGGGGGACAGACAGGAAATTTCCATTAAATCTGCAATTGGATTGGTCAAAATTTAATTACATGATTGACCATGCTTGAGGGGCTGATTGGGTCACTCTTTCTCCTAATTCTTGTGATCTTGTGATTTAAGGGTTCTTCATTTCTAGTTGATTGCTAGTACAGCTTGTTCAGACTTACCACGGTTTTGTTTGTAAACATGCAAGTTTGCTTGATTCAGGATTATGGAAATAACTTGCAGGTACAACTACAGTTGTCAATCTTCAATGGAATCCAGCTACAGCTTAATGGATACCAGCATTTGGATTCCAAGTCAACTCTCAGGTAGAGTCATAGACATGTTATGACGTGGAAGGAGGTAATTTGACCCATTTGAGCCTCTGTAGAGATTTCCAGTCACATTGCCCTGCTCATTATCTTCAAGGAACCATCCAATTTCTTTGTGAAATCATTGCCCACCCATTGTTTCCACCACCTTAGTCACTCCCCCTGCTTATCTGCCAAAATTCTTTAATTCAGGACATCTCTGCAAGAGTTTCTCAGGGTAATGTCCTCGGCCCAACCATCTTCAGCTGCTTCATTAATGACCACCCCTGCATAATAAGGTCAGAAAATGCGGATGCTGTCTGATATTTGCACCATTCCTCTAAGATTGAAACAGCCTATGTCCAAATGCAGCAAGATCTTGATGATATCCAGGCCTAGGCTGATAAAGTGCTAGTGACATTTGAGCCGCACAAGTGCCAGGAGATGACCATCTCCAGCAAGAAAGTGTCTATCACCCATTGACATTTGATGCCATTGCCTTTACTGAATCTCTCCGTATCCATAGGTTGTGAATAACCGTTGACCAGAACCCGAACTGTGTAATTCACTTCCTGACTCCCAAATCCAATGCACTGTCCACAGCTCACAAGTCAGGAATGTGATGGAATGCTGTCTGCTTGGCCACAGGAATGCTTCTCGAACTATATTCAAGTAGTTCAAAATTGTTCAGGACGTAGCAGCTCACTGATGCACTGTGGCAGCAGCATGTACCATTTACCAGATACACTGCAGCAATTCTCCAAGCCTTATTCTGTGTAATTTCAAATCCACAACATCACCATCTGGAAGCAAAGGAATCAGTGTCGGATCATATTTATAAAAAATATAGTAAATTTTTTGGGGGCAATGATAAGTAAGTTTGCAGATGACACAAAGATTGGTCAGGTGGTTGACAGTGAAGGGAAAGCTCTCGGGTTACAGGATAATATTAGACGGATTGGTCAGATAGAATTTAACCCTGATAAATGTGACGTGATTCACTTTAGAAGAAGGAACAAGACAAGGGAGTACTCAGTGAGTGGCAGGACATTGAGAAGAACAGTGTGATCTTGGGGTCTTTGTCCACAGATCCCTGAAGAGGGCAGGAGAAGTTAATAGGGTAGTTAAGAAGGCATACAGGACACTTGCCTTTATTAGTTGTGACATAAATTATAAAACCAAGAAGTTTAAATGGAGCTGTACAGGACTTTGGTCAGCTGGAATACTGTGTGCAGTATACTCCACGCTATAGGAAGAATGTGATTTCACTGGAGGAGGTGCAGAGGAGATTCACTGGGATGTTACCTGGGATGGAGCAGTTCTGCTCTGAAGAGAGTCTGGATAGGCTTGAGTTGCTTTCTCTAGAACAGAGAAGGCTGAGAAGGGACCTGCTAGAGGTGTCTAAGATTATGAGGGGCATGGGCATGGGAATGGGCATGGGCATGGGAGAACAAGAAGCAGCTGTTCCCCTTAGTTGAAGGGTCAGTGGAAAAGTGACATAAGTTTAAGGTGAAAGTCAGGAGGTTTATAAGGGATTTGAGGAAAGATTTTTCACCCGGAAGGTGGTTGGGTGTCCAGAATGCACTGTCAAAAGGATACTTGAACAGGAAAACTCACAACCTTTAAAAAGTACTTGGTTGAGCACTTGAAATGTCACAACATTCAAGGCTATGGGCCTAATGCTGGAAAGTGGGATTAGTGCAGTTTTAGAGTAGGTTTTTCTCGTTCATGCAGGCTTGATGGGCCGAATCTGTACTTTATAGAATCCCTAAAATGCAGAAAAAGGTCATTTGCCCCATCAAGTCTTCACCAACCCTCCCATCCAGACCTAGCACCCCTCCCTATCCCTGTAATCCCATATTTGCCATGACTAATCTACCTGGCCAGGGTGCCACCGGGAAGGTAAATTTTTTCCTTGTAAAAACTTACCTCGTGCAGCAGCGGCCTTCTTGCTTTCAGTGGTGGGAGTGGAGAGAATGCGAGCCAGAAAGTGAACTAATATATTCAGGCATTGGATAAACCCGAAACACTACACATGAAGTGCCTCCGACTCATCCTCCTCCTCTAACCAAAAAAAAAGATTGTTTGCAGGGTCGGTAAGGTAAGGCTTTTTTTTATTCTTCTGGAAATCTAGAGTAGAGGGAATGGAAGCTAGGGCAGTTGCATGCTCCTCTTGCAGGATGTGGGAGGTAAGGGTCATTGCTGGTGTCCCCTCTGACTTCACCTGCAAGAAGTGCACCCAACTCCAGCTCCTCAAAAACCACGTTAGGGAACTAGAGCTGGAGCTGGATCTGGATGAACTCCGGATCATTCGGGAGGCTGAGGGGGTGATAGAGAGGAGTTATAAGGAAGTGGACATACCCAAGGTACAGGAAAAAGGTAGCTGGGTGACTATCAGGGAAAGGGAATAGGCAGACAGTGCAGGGATCCCCTGTGGCCGTTCCCCTCAATAATAAGTATACCATTTTGGATATTGTTGGTGGGGGGATGACCTACCGGGGGAAGGCCATAGTGGACAGGTCTGTAGCACTGAGCACAGTCTGTGGCACAGAAGGGAAGGGGGGAGAATAGGAGAGCAATTGTAGTGGGGGATTCAATGGTAAGAGGCACAGACAGGTGGTTATGTGGACGCGAACGAGATGAACGGATGGTATGTTGCCTCCCGGGTGCCAGGGTCCGTGATGTCTCAGAGCGTGTCTTCAAGATCCTTAAGGGGGAGGGTGAGCAACCAGCAGTCATGGTACACATCGGTACCAATGACATGGGAGAAAAAGGACAGAGAATGTGAAAAATGAGTACAGGGAGTTAGGTTGGAAGCTAAAGTCCAGGACAAACAGGGTAGTTATCTCTGGATTACTACCAGTGCCACGTGATAACGAGGTAAGAAATAGGGAGAGAGTGCAGCTAAACACATGGCTACAGGGCTGGTGTAGGAGGGAGGCCTTCCATTATGTGGATAATTGGAGCACATTCTGGGGAAGGTGGGACCCGTACAGTAAGGACGGGTTGCACCTGAACCGGAAGGGCACAAATATCCTGGGAGGGAGGTTTGCTCGAGCTATACAGGATGGTTTAAACTAGATTGGCAGGGGGTGGAGAACCGGATTTGTAATTCAGAGGATGAGGTATTCAGCCTTCCAACAGACACAGCAGGGAATGAGGTTGTTAATAAAGAAATGCGGTCGATGGAGCATAATTGTGGATACACGGATGGTTTGAAGTGTATTTGAAGCTAGAAGTATCAGAAATAAGGTGGATGAACTTAGAGCATGTGTCAGTACTTGGAACTACGATGTTGTGGCCATTACAGAAACTTGGGTAACTCAGGGACAGAATGGTTGTTGGAAGTTCCGGCATTTAGATGCTTTAAAAGAAATAGGGAGGGTGGTAAAAGAGGCGGTGGAGTGGCATTGCTAGTCAAGGCTAGTATAGCAGCTACTGAAAGGCATTTCGAGAATGATATGTCTACAGAGTCAGTTTGGGTTGAGGTCAGGAACAAGAAAGGAGCAGTCACTTTGTTGGGGTTCTTTTTTTACAGACCCCCTAATAGTTGCAGAGAAGTGGAGGAATGGATTGGGAGGCAGATAGTGGAAAGGTGTAGAAGTCACAGGGTTGTAGTCATGGGTGACTTCAACTTTCCAAATATTGATTGGAAACTTTTTAGTTGTAATAGTTTAGATGGAACGAATTTTGTCCAGTGCGTTCAGGAACGATTCCTGACACAGCATGTAGATAGACCAACACGAGGAGAAGCCATTTTGATTTGGTGCTTGGCAATGAACCGGGCCATGTGTCAGACCTGTTGGTAGGAGAGCATTTTGGCAGTAGAGATCATAACTCTGTTACTTTTACAATAGTCATGGAAAAGGATAGGTACATGCAGCAGGGTAAGGTTTATAATTGGGGGAAGGGTAATTATAATTCTGTTAGGTAAGAACTGGGTAACATAAAATGGGAACAGATGCTGTCAGGGAAGAGCACTTTTGAAATGTGGAGATTGTTTAAGGAATGTATTCTGAGTGTATTCAATATGTTTGTCCATGGCAGGCAGGGAAGATGCGGTCGAGTGAGGGAGGCTTGGTTCTCAAGAGAGGTCGAACAACTAGTTAAAAGGAAGAAGGATGCTTATGTAACGTTTAGGAAACAAGGATTGGAAAAGGCTCTAGAGGGATACAAGTTAGCCGGGAAGGAGCTGAAGAAACGTCTTAGGAGAGCTATAAGAGGGCATGAGAAAACCTTGGCAGATACGATCAAGGAAAACTCTAAGGCTTTTTACACATACGTGAGGAATAAGAGAATGATCAGAGAAAGAGTAGGGCCGACCAAGGATTGTAAAGGGAATATGTGCACGGAGCCTAAAGATGTAAGAGAAGTCCTTAATGAATACTTTTCTTTGGTATTCACAACTGAGAGGGACCTAGTTGTAGAGGAGGACAGCGTGAAACAGGCTGGTAGGCTAGAGGAGGTCGGTGTTAGTAAGGAAGACGTACTAGGAATTTTAAGGAACTTGAAGATAGATAAATCCCCCGGGCCTGATGGGATTTATCCAAGGATTCTATGGGAAGTGAGGGAAGAGATCGCAGGGCCTTTGGCGATGATCCTTTCATCCTCACTGTCCACGGGTATAGTGCCGGAAGATTGGAGAGTGT